TGTGAGCATATTTTCCGTTTCACTTTATGTCCGCCTATATGCCTACTATTTGTGTCCAATCTGTTTCTCTTTATGTCCGCCTATATGCCTACTATTTGTGTCCAATCTGTTTCTCTTTATGTCCGCCTATATGCCCACTATTTGTGTCCAATCTGTTTCTCTTTCTGTACGCCTATATACCCACTATTTGTGTTCAATCTGTTTTTCTTTATGTCCGCATATATGCCCACTTTTCGTGTCCATTCTGTTTCTCTTTCTGTCCGCCTATATGACCACTATTTGTTTCCGATCTGGTTCTCCTTATGCCCGCCCAGATGCTGGTACTATCTGTACCCAGTCTATCTCCCTTTCGTCCGACTACATGCGTACTAGCTGTGTCCACTCGGATCCCCTTCTGTCGCGTGTACTCGCACTATTTGTGTCTCCTTCTGTCGCATGTACTCGCATTGTTTGTGTCTCCTTCTGTCGCGTGTACTCGCACTGTAAGTGTCTCCTTCTGTCGCGTGTACTCGCATTGTTTGTGTCTCCTTCTGTCGCGTCTACTCGCATTGTTTGTGTCTCCTTCTGTCGCGTCTACTCGCACTGTTTGTGTCTCCTTCTGTCGCGTGTACTCGCACTCTTTGTGTCTCCTTCTGTCGCGTCTACTCGCACTGTTTGTGTCTCCTTCTGTCGCGTCTACTCGCACTGTTTGTGTCTCCTTCTGTCGCGTGTACTCGCATTGTTTGTGTCACCTTCTGTCGCGTGTACTCGCACTGTTTGTGTCTCCTTCTGTCGCATGTACTCGCACTGTTTGTGTCTCCTTCTGCCGCGTGTACTCGCACTGTTTGTGTCTCCTTCTGTCGCGTCTACTCGCACTGTTTGTGTCTCCTTCTGTCGCGTGTACTCGCACTGTTTGTGTCTCCTTCTGTTTCGTAATTTGTCCAGCTCTTCGACTCAGTCGTCTGATAATCCACTTGTTCCTCCCATCTAGTGGCCTACCTGCTTATTATTCTCAACTCAAGGTCCCCCACCAACAAGCAAGTAAACATACCATGAAATGGGAAACTTTAATAGTTTCCACGTTCTGCCATAATGCCACACTCCGTAAATCCCTCTGCGTCACTTCTGGTAGCTTCATCGCTTCGTCTTCACAACTGAGAGCCTAGATGGAATCCCTAATCCTGTGCACTATCACTATCTCCTTGTGGAGTGAAACTCAGGGCTAATTGTAATACCTACAGGCGATAGAGTGGAATGTTAAATAAGTAGTGGACGGTCCCCTGAGACTAGTGATTACATGACTGAAACAAAGAGCAATAGCCGTCTCCTGCCAGGAAACATGACACCAGTTGCTCTAAGGAACCCGTCGTTTCAGTACTTGGTTCAAGTACGTGGGGGTTTTGACGAGCTCTTAGGGTTTTATTGTGTTTCTTTTGGTATGTCGTAAACTCCCAAGGGGATTTGAATTCAAAAGAGGAGTGACCGATACTGAACATTCAAGGGTAATATAACAGAAGTAGCATTTTCTCAAATTTACCTTCTGGCTTGTGATAAGAAATTTGTATCTGTTCGTGGGCACAAGTTAACTTGCGATGACACAAAGTACTCTCACGAGAGAATGCGAGATGCACGGTGAGTTGGCCTTCGTTATAATAGCCAACATGTAAAACAAGGCGTGGGGCATGAACCCAGGCCTAATGCGTTATGAGCGAACACGCTACCAAGCGTACAACCTCACCTCTAGATGGTTAATATAAAAGTAGAACCAACTAGGGCCATTTAACGAACATGGTATCAATTTAATCAAATGCGTGAGTGAATATGGTTTTACGCCGCTTTTAGCAATATTCCAGCAATATCACGGTGGGGGACACCAGAAATGGACTTAAAGCATTGTACCCATGTCTTGGGCGTGACAAGCGAACGCTCTAACCGCTAGGCTACCCGACCGCCCCGACGTTTATCAAGACTGAACTGCTTCGAAAGGATATTGACTATGGTAGATATATTGATATATATTTTCTTTAACAAGTATCAATGAATCTATAAAAGCTAAACCCCACGTGGGTAAAATGTGTGAAGCCCATTTCTGGTGTCCCCCGCCGTGATATTGCTGGAATAATGCTACATGGGCGTAAAACCATACTCACTCACTCACTCACTCACAATAAAGCCATATAACGTTTAGGTTGTTCTCTAAGAGCGAATGTGCATTTTCATTTGAGATTTCTTTATAAGTTTCAAGAAAAAGTATCAGTGTATCTCTAAAGGTTTGAGTGCGATAAGCTAGGGCGTTTCCTGAGAGCGAGTGTGCATTCACGTTTCACTTGAGACGAGATAACTTGAAACCTGCAGTCACCGCATTTACATGTACGATGTCAGATCGCATTCTCTGTTCAGGTACGCCCAATCTCATGTCACTCATAAGAGTTCATATTTGTTGATGTACAAGTGTAAATAGTTCACTTCGTAAGTACAACGAGGTATCGCTCGAAGCATCTTCTGCAAGTGTGTGTAACCATCCCTTAACGAAGCTGCATAATACATCAGTGTTGGGGGGTCCGACCCGATTCACCGCCAGCCCCTCCCCCTAGACTTGCACAGGTCTCTAGGGCAAACATTATTAATTTAAATTATGATTTCTAGATTATATAGACAATAAAAACAAGTTGTCCCTATAAAAGACTGACGTTCCTAAATGTGATGTTCGCTTATCTAGACTTCCCTATTATAAGGATAGAATTACGAATATACATCCATGGGTTTGTCATTCGGTACAATCTTGGAGCAAGGCTACCACCCCCTCACACACACAGTTGACACGGGTGGCTAAGGCGTCTAAAGAGCAGCAATTCGCTCTATGGAGTTGTTGTCCATTGGACTCACCTGACACCTATATTCGTATCCAGTTTCGCTCCGGTGATGTTTCTAGGTTTGTCAGCGCCATACCCGTCCTCGTGGGTTTCTCCATTGTGCTAAACCATCACTTCGGGCTTTCATCCCACATTAAACTGACACGCCGTGATATAAATGGAATACTGTACAAAGCGTCGTTAAACCCACCACCACCACACACACACACACACACACACACACACACACACACACACACACTGCTACTCCATGTAATCTCGTGTATGTTCGCTGCATAGTTACAGCTCCCCTATGTTATCGGCTGGACACACAGTGCAGGGAAGGAAGGTAGTGCTTGCTATCTTACCCATATTCGGGATCCTGTTAACACGCCAAACAAGGTTATTTTAAAACAGTTTGTTGTTAAAGACTTCTTTCTGGTCGACAATATATTACTATTATCAGTCGTTTTATAATATTAACGAATAAACAACAAACGATACGTTCACCAAAACATTGCCGTAAGAGGCGACTATGCTTGTAGTGAGAGGCGACTAACGGGATCGGGTGGTCAGGCTCGCTAACTTGGTTGATGTATGTCATCTTTTGTTTGTAACAATACGATCGTTTGTTTGTCAACGAAACTTCACGGGGTTCTATAACTGATAGTCAATTAAGTATCAATTTTATATACCACACTGAATGTAGATATATTTAATTTCTTTGAATAATTATGAATATCTTGTCCTCCAGTTGATTTTGATTTGACGAAATAAATATCTGGTCCGGCAAATGGTGATGCTTTTATCAGTAACAATGTGATCAAAAAGGCTAGGAGTATTTCTACACATATATCATATTTCAATCCACTTGTTTTTAAAAATTGTTTTAAACACGTAAACAGTTTGAGGCCGTTAACTCGAAGCCCAAGGGATACTTGATAGTATATCGACTTCTTTATAGTTCCACTCATGCGAAGTGTCGATATCAGGGTCGAGAGACGACATTTGTTTGTTTGTTTGTTTGTTTGTTGTCTAACAATGCACTCAGCAATATACCAGCTATATGACGGCGGCCTTTAAATAATCGAGTCGGGACCAGACAATCCAGTGATTGACATCATAAGCATCGATCCAAGCGTTTGGGATTAATGACTTGCATCAACCAAGTCAGGAAGCCTGACCACCCGATCCCGTTAGTCGTACGACACGCACCCCGGATCTTCACGGGTCTCGAGTGACCACAAAGATTCCACCTTGACCATAAAATTATTATTCTAACGAATACATTGAAGGACTTCAATGTAACGAGCTGGACACTTCATTGTCCATGATCAAGATTAAAAACAAGTTTATTTCTGTGTCGCAAGGCAACCCCTTCTGTTCAATTGCTCAACTGGACATAGAAAAATGTTAGAAAACATATTGTTTGAATTATTTGCAGTCTATCATACATAATCGGTCTATGAGAACAATGGTTACTTTGATAGGCATCGTGTAAGAACACGAAGAGACGAACTTTACATTAGTCCTTTTTAAACAAACACATATCATACGACCCCGCAACAATACTCTCTTTATCCGGTGGCGAGTGCTATACGAGAGCGATCAGACTTGCCATCACGCGGATTGTGGGAACAGTAACTCGACTATATCCCAACTCTATGCCGCTTTAATATGTGATACAAGGTTAAAAGGAGGCACACTTTTATTTGAAGCACCCTTATGAAACGATTAAAAGTTTCAATGGTAGTTTCCGAGACCCGACACTTAAAAGTAACTCGAACGTCCTTTAAAGTCTCATTAGGTCAGTGGAACATATCTTTCAAACGACGGTCGTCAACTCACCAGCAGTTTATCTTCATCCGTTCAGACCCGATCTATCAAAACACTATAAACAAATGATCAATTAAAACATAACATTGCCAGGCAATCCTGTAAGAGAACTCATCTTAAGAAATCGCTACATCGCATGATGCAACTCAACATTGAACGTGCCTCTTGCCATGGTCGCGCTGCACGAGTATGACGTCATATCTCAAGCCCGTACCTCGCCGGGACGCTCTACTTGAAGCTGATTGGTTAACAGCCGATCGAGGGCCATCCCATCTTAACGCGTGTGTATTCTTCGTTCGCGCCTACTCGGCTGAGGATTTCCCCTTGCCTCGGTATATAAAGGCAGTAAGCAACGAGATCTGTCAGAGTTCCTTCAAAGCTTGTTTGAGACACTTACTAAAGCCTTTTGTGATAAAGCTAACAGGCCCTTCGGACTTACCTACAGACTTGAAGACCTTTTGAGGGATTAATCAAGAACTTTACATTTTCTGTGAGTATGCATTCAAATTACATTTCTTTTTAAATTGATATTTTTTTATTATTATTATTTCATTTGGTAATTTAAAAAATGAAACTTCTGTGTTCTGTGGAATGACATGCGTATGGTAACATTCATATTCATGTCTATTTCAACTGAATACTTTCGTAAAAACGTGGAGGTATATATTTCATTTTATGTAAAAAACTTTTATTAAGTAATTTTTTCATTTAGTTACATCACAGCATGAGCCAATGTGATGAAAGGTTCCAAGTGAAAAATAAATCTGCTTGTAGTAGGTTTTTCAATAACGAGCTATCATTATGCTGACTGGTCAAAAGCACTTCCTTTACCCTTATATCGATCCAGAGTTTCATTTTCTACTTCAAGGAGTTAAGAACTGTTGGATTTGTAAGTTACTTGTAAGCCACGTAGACACTTTAGGCCGGTGTATTGATCAAGCAATTTCTTTCGTATTTCAATCTGTTAAATATAGTCAATTTATCTAATTGCCTTGACGAGTCTTCAGCGGAAAATATCGACTTTCCTCTGCGTCCTATAAATGATATGGTTATCTGAAGGTTTAATGCCCGCTACGTGCTATACCAGGAATAGCGCTGTTTAACTTTGCAATGACTTTGAAGTTAGCAGAAACGCATTCGGGGAAAAAAACCACATTTGTTTTTTAAGTTGAGAGATTCACGGTATTTAATTTTGATTTAAGAAAGTAATATATTTCGGTCTTTAATTCACCGATGCACGTACAACAGGCCTCCTCTTAAAGGAACATGATTGACATTTGTGGTGGTTTATTTCACTCCATGTGGTGGTGTTTATGCTATGTCTGCATCTCAAAGATATGAAGTGCATTCGTCTATATCACCAGCAATCGTGTCTATATCAGAAATAGGTGACATTTATTACCGCGGGTGGTACACAAGTTCAGGATTCCATAAGCAAAGAGTACTTTGCAGAGCTGCTTGGTAGTCTAATATTTAACACAGACAAACGAATGAATGGAAAGTGTAAAACTACATGACGTCTAGCAGAAGGGGATAATGCAGTGGAGTATATTTCAATGGGGAGGGTTTGTAACAGCAGGTTGGCAGGCGTTGTACATTTCACCGGCTGAGTGATATATCTCACAGGCTATGTTAAAACAAACTGATGATTGACGGCAAGTGGCTATTGCACTTGCCTGCTGCAGTCTGTCAATGTTCGGTTGCGTGGGATATTTCACAACTGGGTGGTATAATTATCTCCCTATTTTTTCTTAGTGGGGCACTTTCATGAAAGGTTTTGTACATAAAAATGTCTATTTCGGTGAAACATATGTACATTGCACCTTTAGTATTAATAACTTGATAACGAATAAGTAATAAAAGTATTGCTTTAGGACGCATCAGAGCAATATTGCAACAAGATAATGACATTTAAGACAAAGGACGGTTGAGAGAATTATTATTTACGTTAATAATAGATATTAATAGAAATATGTATTGTAAGTATGTCAGCCTCGAAATTAGCGACGGTGACATGTTGCTCGTCGCTAAACGATCAGCTGTCCCCGATACGTGCGCGACCTGCAAACCGAGTGCATTTCAATCAGGACGATATTGACATGTAAGTGACACCTCTGAAATAATAATATAACCATCGTAGTGCAATTAGGTCTTGTACAGTTATATCTTTGAACAAATGAACCATTTGAAATGAGTCACGTTGTCACGTTTTGGAAGAGCGTCCCCGTTTCTAGGTCATTTTAAAGGAAATGGACCTTATGTTTCAAGTTTTTGTGTGGAAAAGACACGCGGCATGCTCCACTTCAAAAGGACATGCAACAAATGAAATATATTGTTTTCCGTGTAAGACCCAGACCTGATTGGAGCACTTTATGACAGACGTGACACGTGCTGTGAAATAATCACTGTAAATATGATCAAGGGATGTTTGGCAATATGTTTCAGAGACACTGTAACTAATGTCAGTGTGACCTCACATTTTTTTGAGAACCGTTTCATAACAAATCGTTAGGAACGATACTAAGTAACTCCTAGTCAGACTATGGGGAACACCAGAGGAAAACCGTCTGTCTGAAGACTATGTAACAGATGTCTGTCACGTTGCCGACGCGTACGAACGCGGGCAACGCGATAGACAGAGCAACGTGGCAAAAAACGTATTTTCAAAATCTGCCAACTGCCTAGAAGAATAGCTTTCTTTTAGAAAAAATTTAAAAATATCTAGTGCATTTGTTCTTTTACATATTTTCTTTTTGAAGCATGTCGTTTTACATATCGCATGTCATATGAGAGTCAGGCTGAAGTTCTCCTTTAGTTTGTCCTTGTTCACCCTTTAGAATCCTGTCAATGAAACAAAAAAGTAATAAAAGTGTCTGTTTCGCTGATGTATGTTTCCGATAAAGTCTCCGACCAACAGTTCAGATAATAACTGAAATAACAGTTCAGATAATAAGTTTATTAAGAACTTCTAGCATTCTTAATGATTGTTTGCGACTGAGGGGTAAAAGTAGTTCGACCAGAGTTGTCAATCGAATTGGACCGTCGCGGATGATGCAACACTCGTGTTAAACAAATGGCCCTTCACTAATGTATTGGATCTCTCTCCACAGGCGCACTTTGAGTCAACACACGAAGCAGTAAAGATGTTCTGGCCAACAGTCGACGAGAGCGTGAACGTAAACAGCGGCGCCAAAACGCACAACATATTCCAAGCGTCAATGTTTGGGTAGGTATTTTGTTGGGGTTTTTCCCCCTCTTACTCTGTAGAACATGTGGTTATGTATCTGGAACAGAATTTAGAAGTCTGTTTATTGCTTGTACGGGAATATTTTCAGTGCTGTCGTTTAACTCAAAATTTTTACATTTTGCTTTCAAACAAGCTCATGGACACTCAACATGGATTATAACTCGCCAACAATTAGCATTTGAAATGAGTGTTATGATAAGAATGTTGTTTCAATTGGTTAATCTCAACCGTTCACGCGCGGACGTGATAGAAGACAATTACCTTCAGACCAATCAGATAAGATCAATTGACTGGTTAGCGTCTTAGCAGTCAGGCGGGTATAATTAATATGGTCTAGACACTTCGCTCTTAGTGATAAGATACGACACGGGGAGAGAATTTCGATCTGGTTAAGCTCCGTTTTGTCAAGAAGACATGTAGTTAATGTATTACCTCCTTAATCAGTCAGGTTCCCTTTGTAGTTAATCGCTTTTATTTACACATCCATTCACTTGTGTAAACCCGAAATGTGAAGCCCTAACTGGGGATGCGTGTATCGTCAATTGCCATCTCTTAAGCTAAGTACACAGACTGACAGTTTGAGCACTGTTTATCCATGATGATAGACACGCGATTTGTCTCACGCTAATTTTGGTTACGGATTAAAAAACGATAACTTCATGTACAAAATATATGACTGGTACTAACCCTTGCCAATTTATCAAATATGACACTTTCGGTGTCCCATAATAATACGCTTTCGTGGTTAACACTTTATATGTTAACTTTGAACACAATGGTATAAGTAGAATGTCTGGGTCATGGTATGTGAGTCGACTTGGCGTGAACAGGCTTTATTTTAACATTGGATCAATGTGCCTGGTAATGTACATGCAGAGAAAACTCTCCTATCATGGACACCGTTATTTATCTTTGTTAAACTGTAGGTCAAATATGACGAGCCATTGACATATTTATGTAACATGCTAAGGTTGACAATGTTTTCTATCACGTACTCATTTGAACCAATGATTCTGCTAAATGGATAAATACATAGTGCATAAATAACGAACTTGGTCAGTTTTGTTTGCATAATACTTATGTCCCTTTCTCAAAGCGACCGTTGATGCACTTAACAAGGTCGCTGCACTTGCGCGGCTTCGTTTGAGGAGGTAAATGTGCAAAGCCGCATGATATATACATGCCACATGCCCATCAGCTACCGTTTAGACAAGCATGTCAGTTTCGTGTACATTTCAGGCAGGAAACAGACTATTTATATTGGAGGAGAGGAAAATAATACATGTCCATTTTTTACCATTACGAGAATTGGCTTCTGGCGGTTGTCTGTCCAGGCCTCTGGTAGCTATGTCAGTTAATGAACAAAATGCAAGTTATCAAAATATTCTCATGATTTTATTCTCTTTTTCAGAATGAAACCAGTCCTCCCCGACCTATCAGTCCTTGCCGATGATGCTCAAAAGATTAAACTGGTCAGCGCTGTAGCAGAGGTCACATCACACTTAGCCCATCAAGCTTTCAAGATGGCTGCAAATCTGAACCTATCAGGAGCTGTCTTACAAAAGCTTGGGTCCCAACCAATGGCAGCAGAGGTTGCTTTATGGAAGCATCATGGCAGTGTTGGATAAGACTTACCTCTTTGTTACGAGATTACAACGATATTCTTCAATATCTCTATTGAAAACTGAAGACTGTGTTCATCCTAATATACATGCAGAAGTCAGTGTAATCAGTGACGACCAAGATGGACAGGGACTGACCGCTGTCCTAAATCATGTACTTCGTAAAGTCATCTATTTATTCCGACTGGGAGGTGACCGACGTCCGTGTTGATAGCAGTGATCCACGGGGACTGTTCCCACCGCAATAGGGAACTGTTCATGTTCGTTTCACATTTGTCACTGTTTGTGGTGCTATAGCTGAACTTTGAACTTCGAACTTTGAATTTTGAATTCACTTCATGGCATAATGACCGAAATGGCCCTTTTTCAAATATTTATGTTCAAAGTATGATTAGAAGAATATGGTTACTTATTAAGCTGCAAATTTTAAACTGTTGTCCAAATAGTGTTGTCAGTTTCAGCAAAGTTTCTGTGATATTTGATATGTTTTAGTTGTGCATGTCGTGTATTTTATGTCGTATGGGTAAACGAGGTATCTCTGTGTGGACAGTAAGCCGCTTCAAGGCTGAAACTGAAAATGAGTCTCTTATATAATTATTATTTCTCTAAAGAATAATTACCGTAATATTCATTCTAAATAGAATGTACTCTTCAGTAACTGACGCTCGTTTTATTCAAACCTCGTTCACCCATACGCTTACAGTTAGGAACGGTTATCGCAAGGATTCTATACACTTCCTTGTCCGAAGACTCACTGCCCCGGACAGATGGAAATCTGATAGTCCGGATAAACAATGTTCGTCTGTAACTGTTTGACATTGACCAGTTCGCAATGAACTGTTCACTTAAAAGGGCAAGTACATGGATCAAAACGTTTGTTTGGTTTAGAAACTTTTGGACACATTGTCAAGACAAGGATATTACGTAAAATGTAAATTTCTTCTGACTGATGGTGTTAATTTCATGAAATCCACAGATCTGATATTTACATGTTTTTCGTCTCATTGAACAAATCTTTGATGTCTTGTCAAAGTTGTCTGTCATAATAGCCACACGTCTCCCGTACATATTATTTAAGAAGGCATTGTTCATTTCATTGGGTGTTTCGTCCGATCATTGGAAACGTTATTTATGTATATACAATAGCATCCTCATGTACGTCACTCTAGAACGGTCATTTTATTTGTAGAACATGTTTTCAATAAACACATAAATGATACTCCCAGCTGGTCTTGGCTTGTATGTGTGTTATGCGTTATCAGTGATGAATACACAAGCTACAGCGGCACGTGGACCCAAGCGCAAATATACACTGGACAATATACTTTTCATTACAACATCGACCAACCTATTTACATCTCTAATTGTGTTCCTTAAAGAGACACGTGTTGGTTTTAGATAAACACTAGTATCATAAATACTATCCTTGGGGTCACGGGTGGCCCAATCATCTAAAATGTCGCAGTGTGCTGTACAAAGTTACGTCCCTTGGGCGTGACAGGAACCTAGGACAGTGGGTTCGAATCTCAGATTCGTCCCGATAATGTTTCTGTTTCTCAGCGCCAAACCCGTACTCGTGGGTGTCACCAAAATGGTAAATGTCCAAGACCTGCATCATTTCGGGCTTTCCACCTAAATTAAGACGACACGCTGTGATATAACTGGAATACTGTTCAAAGCGGCGATAATCCCAACTCACCCACTCACTATAAACATCGTGTACACGAAGACATTCACATCGTCTCTCCTTATATAACACGTTGCTCTGTCGTTCCCGTAGCCGCGATAACACAGGTGTTTGTGAAAAAGTTAGAATTAGAAAGGTCAAGGTGAACTGATCCCGGATTGTCCCAAATATTTTGGGGGCTTTGAAAAGACAATCTTTTTCGTTTGCGTGACAGGTGCCTATATCTGTACTAATTCAGTGGAACAATGACTCCAAACAGCGAATTGCGGTTCGATGTTCATAATACGAACATTACGAGTATGGTGAAAGCGGGATTCCATCACACATTCACAAGTTCACTGCGTACTAGAAACTTGCAACCAGGTCGAACCGCACCAACGCAACAAACGAAATAGGCATATAGGCCAAAAGGTTGAGATATTTAGTTTTTCTATTTTATCCTAATCTCACCTAATCTGGGGCGGCCGCGTGTTCATTCCGACATTACTCTATCTCAAATTCAAGATAAAAAACATATAGATGCCTTTAAATTATAAGTTGGTGCCAACGAAATCTTTCATTAAAAGCTATGGAATTATATACAGTAAAGTACGGTTATAACGAACTCAAAGGGACTACTAATTTTAGTTCGTTATAACCGTAGTTCGTTTTAAGCATTTATACAGAATAACTACAGCAAATAGTCGGGACCAAAAAAGTAAGTTCGTTATATCCGTAAGTTCGTTATAAGCGTGTTCGTTATAACCGTAGTTTACTGTATTAGGACATACATTGGATGAATTCATCTCGTCAAGAGATTTTTGATGATATAAAGTTAATTCCTGTAATCCGATTCCTAGGGTAGGGTCGAGTTCAGTTTGTTGTACATTCCGAAATTGTCCCGGTTTTCGTTACTGCACTGGTTACCGCACGAGCCACGAGTTGATGTCGTTTATCTCGAACACGCGAGCGATGCGAGTGCATGAGTTGGGTTTAACGCCGCTTGAACAGTATTCCAGTTATATCACCGCGTGAAGCGACATGAAGGCGGCTTCAGTTCACATGTATCAGTTTGTCAAATGAGTATTACTATACTAAATTTGATTTTATTGTCCGAACGCAAAGCGAGGCTCTCGGGAAAGTCTAGAAATAAACAACCCCTATCTGACATTAGGTAACACTTGTCCACTTTATAACTCTTGTTTCGGTATCCCATATATCACAGAACTATATTCGGAATCAACTGACAGACAAGTACCCACATACATTACCGTTTTAGCCATGTCAACTATATTTAAACCAAGTGGTTATTTATTTCGTTACTGCTTGAGCGTGAAGAACGTTCATGAATACACGCTCACAATTAATATTCTAAAGGTCGGTGTTATTCAGATAACCAACATACTTGGCCTGTGAATAATGCACACAATCAAGATACCGGTTTCAGGCAGAGCATAGTACTAAAGTACGCGACTAAACTTAAACCTGATGTTGGTCACGTCAGGAATATGTTGCAAACTAGTGTTGTAATTGTTTAACGACCAACTCAGCAATAATCCAGCTGTAAGACGTCGGTCTGTAATTAATCGAGCCTGACCAGACCATCCAGTGATTGACATCATGGGCACCGATCCATGAAATTGGCATACGATGACATGCATCAACCATTCAGTGAGCCTGTCCATCCGATCCCGTTAGTCGCTTCTTACGACAAGGATGGGTTGCTGAAGAACACTTGTAACCCGGATGTTCACGGGGTTGAAGCAAACTAACAACAGTCTGTCGGGTATGAGAAAAGTGTAGCATCGATTCGTTCCTCGGGTATGATGACACACTAAAGCAACCAGGCCAGTGCGGCCTCTTTCATCATTCAATCCTCATTTTACACTCAGCCATCTTTCGACCGAGTTTGATTTTTCATGAATGTCAGCAATATTCCATGCCTATAGTTATCGAGTCACATCTGTGGGCGTAAGCCGGGCTACGATGACAGGTTCTAGGTCATTGTTAGCACCCAATCCCCATTTTAGTCGGCACTAACGGCACATCGTTACATTGATTCTGACCGGAATACAAAGGGGAGTCTCAGGAGTACAAAACATTAGAATCTATATTATTACCGAAACATTTTAAAATATTTCACATTCAACATTAAAGATACACTGTAGCAAATATCTATTTAAAGCCGTTTAGTTAGATTAACGCTTAGTCTCTGAAAATATATAATTTGGTTAGAAACAAAAAATCCATTTAAATTGAAAAAGGAGCACCAGTGAGATGGAAATTCAAGACTTGCTTCATTTAGGGATATAAACAAAAAGGGCTAGGCGAAAGGGAAAATAATATGGTTTGACAGAGTACAGTTCAATAAATGTGGAAGAATAATGTGTAATAATGGTATTAATATTATATTCGGCAATTTCAGCATAATAGTAAACTAGCAACCTTCAATTCGATTACTATCTACATCTGTCGATAAACCAGAACCCCTGATGTCCCTAGAAGTACAGTCAGTTTTCGACGTGTGACTTTATAAAGTCACGAGGTCCCCTGCTCTGACTCACTGGGAGAAGGTCCCTGACACACTGACAGCCACACAGTGTGATAGTGAAAGATTCATGAAAGTACCTGAAAAGGAGCACGTACTGCGCAAATCGTCCCCTAAAGCATATTGCACCAAATAAGGCGCACTGATGACGTGTCGAAAATGTATTGGTCGTTGTCATGTTCTGTTTAAGTGCACCTGCCACCTTGTCAGTACGTGTACTGTATTACGTGACGTTTCGGTAAGCTCATGCAGACTGGTACAATATCATTTGTCGGTATCGAAAAGACATTCGCCATATTGGTGTTGTGAACTTTGTGCATACCGTGATCCGGCCTTGACCGACAAATTTGACTTCTGGGGTGGAATATATTTTTTTATATATTATGAATTTATATTATTATTACTATTATAATTATATGTATGGCGTACTTTTCAGTTTATAACTGCTTAAATATACTTAGACCGTGATAGATGTTATTATATCGGTCTCTGGATCATGTGCAGTCGATTTACATTCTCAGCTCCCTGGGGAGTATACAATGCAGGATGTCTGAGAGGCGCTACATGTTAACAGTCACTTTATCAACTCCTACGGGGTACCCATTCCCTGGTTGGTGAACAGAGGCACATTACGAACAAAGTCACTTGTCTGAGGAGATACCGCATGTGTTAGATAGGCTTTAGTTTATCGTGGCACAGGAACGAAGCCCTAGAAACTCCCGGGAGTCAGTCTGGCAAACACGCTCCATCAACACAGCGCATGGTATCACCCCATTTGCCAGATCCTTAAGATCCCAAAATGCCAGGGTCGAGTTAGCCCACTATCTTATGCTTGGGGAAATGGATAAGTTCCGATCGTACCCTATTTGTCAGACACCTTATGGCAATATAAAACTTATGATAATTGTTACTGACTAAACATGCTGTTCGTTTGTTATAATTTTGTTCCAGTTTCAACACTATTAATAACATATATTGAATCATAACAGAACATTTTGTTCATGTTGCTCAGACCGCCTCCGTGGTCTAATGGTAGAGCGTCCGCCCGGAGAGCGGAAGGTCCGGGGTTCGATCCCCAGCCGCGTCATACCAAACGACGTTAAAATATGGTTACCCTGTCTGGCGCTCGGTATTAAGGGGACAAGGACTGGTCGGCTCAGAGTCAGTATACTGTCTGAGTGGGTTATCCATGTTAAACTGCGGCATGGTATCTCAGTGAGCTAGCACTATAAATCGGCATCAGTCCGGACTAGTACATGCAGCCACACACACACATATACACGTGCATGCACGTCGCTATATATGTGCAATAATCTTGGACGCGACGTTAAACCCCATTTCACCTCACCTCACCCCATGTTGCTCATTTTGGGGGTTATTAGTTCAAAGTTCATTTTGCTTTAAACATATTTTAAACACATATATTACATCTTCTTATCACATCTAACACATGTGGTGTCTCCTTAGACAAGTGACTTTGCTCAATATACCTCTGTTCACCCCGCAGCGAATGGGTACCCGTTAGGATGAGATAGTAATGTTAACATTCAAGCACCCTATTGGCAACCTGACGTGTGTACTCCCTAGGGAGATGAGAATAACTTTCGAGTGCACACTGAACCATATTTGGAACGAGAGATGGCTGAACGTTTTGTTTGTTTGTTAGTTGGTTAACGCCACACTCAGCAATATTTCAGCTACATGACGGCGGTCTGTATATAAACGAGTGTGGACCCGGCAATGCAGTGATTGACATCATGAGCATCGACCCACGCAATTGCGATACGATGACATGCATCAACCAAGTCAGCGAGCTTTACCACCCGATCCCGTTAGTCTAACGACAAGCATAGTCACCTTTTACAGCAAGCATGGGTTGCTGAGTGTGTGGAAGATAGCACATTATAAACATATTCATTAGTATTATTTAATATTTATGTTAAATGAAAGATATTTTACAGATTTGAGTGAGTACACGAAATATATTTATCAGATTATGCAGAAA